CTATAAAGGAACTACAGCACGGTCACATGACTTCACGTCACCACCGCTAAGCTAAAGGCGGCTAATGTTGGGCTTGCCACTTTATAGACACTTGTTAGCAACCGCTGTTTTAAAATTCATTGAAGTATTTTACTTCATAGAACAAAATATGAAAATCTTGTAAGCTTGCGTTAACCTCAAACCTTATAAAGAGCTAAAATGCTGAGTTATTTCCTGGGTTTAGGACTCACTCCTGCACCACTCTCTACTGTGAGTGAAGGCCCACCTGGTCTCGGGCCTGCATGGTCTTCAGGTCCACCGTGCCGTATCCTGCAGGTAAACCCTGGAAGGCGGCAGGTAAGTCCCTGATGGTCTCCACCAGCCTGCAGTCCAGATGCAGCTCCACGCCCCCCGGACCCTGCTGCATGCCCTTCAGGTGGAACAGCAGCCGGTGCTGTTGGCCGTCCGCCAGCACCAGGTTGTTGAAGGTCACCGAGGTCATCCTCTTGTCGCTCCGCAGGTAACGCAACACAGCTGAGAGGATGAGGAAGATATTTAGTTTAGTTTAGTTTATTTCTTTATAGTGTCGTGTTGTTTGGTTTAGATGATAGGAAAGTGTCGTGTCAAATGTTCATATAATCATTTAAATAATATGTATAGATTATGTCTTATATTCTGATTGCCTTTTACTCGTTTCAATAGTATTTCTAATCCTATATGTGTTTAACAGAGACATATGTTTAGGATTTACATTTCAGGAGGGCAAAAAGTTGATTTTCAAATGGTTAAAGACTTATGGTTTAATGATGGGGGTCTTTAGATGATGCCTAAGGGAATTTAATGGTGGGACCAGTTGAATATACAGTGTGACTGTAAGCAGAACACCTTCATCCTCTGAGGATGAAGTTGCTCTGTTCCTACATTTGAGATAGATTTCACTTGTATATTGACTTTCTTTATTACTTTATTAAACATAACAAAGAAAACTTTGTCCATTAATAATTTATCAGTTTCTCTTCAGAATGTCCTCCAGAGAAAGCAGAGCCTCTTCTCTCGTAGCTTCTTACCTCTGTTGAGCTTCCCCATGACGGTGAACTCAAAGTACTTGCTGTTGTCCCGCGGATTGAACAGGGCGAAGATGCTGGTTCCTGTTTTGGGCTGAAGCTTGAAGGTGGTCAGGATGAAAGCCTCGTTCACGCCCTGCTCCACTAGGCCGCCCTGCAGAAGGTCCGGCAGGCAGTCCGGGGAGGTGAGCAGATCATACACTGTGGAGGAGAAGGGAGAAAGGCACATGAGTAATGGAGGATCAGATGTATGAATATTTATGACCCAAACACATCCTGAGTCGACATGAGGAGATGATGTTGACCCAGTGTTTGTTGATCCTTTGAGACCCTGCATTTACTCATATCATATATCAAGGAATACATTGTTTGGTTGACTACTGATGTTTTTAGAAATGACATTTTTGATCAATAATCATCAGTTATGAAGATATATCAGCTAAGTGGGTAAAAGCTAGTGGTGGAATATGAGTAATTACACTATACTTAAAAAAAATATTTGTACTTGATTATTTCCATTTAAAGCTACGTCATACTTCAACTCAAATATTGCCTACTTTCATTTAACACTCAGTTACTTTGTACTTGTAAAAACACATGATATGCTGATATGGTATAATGCAGTACTTTACTACTAAAACACACAGTACTTATAGTATCTAAATCTGGTCCACATTGACAAACTGCAATACTTAAATGCTCCTACATAAATACAAAAAGGATAATATATCAGCCATAATAATGTAATACTGTGAAAAGTTCCATTCTGCATAACAAGTTTTAAATTTAATACTTAAAGTATATTGATCTGATTATACTTCTTAACTTTATATTATTCTGAAATGAGCCACTGTGCAGAATTAGTACTTTTTGTACTTTAAGTACATTTTGATGCTGAAGACGATACCGATATATTTTCCCTAGTTAGTTGCATGATTTCTTTTTGTATCCTCTCCAAATCTGCTCAGCTGATAAAGTGTTGCACAGTTTCTCCATTCTTCTCACAGGCGGAGGTTTGACCGAGTTAAAGCCAGATCTGTGCAGAGCAGGAGAGGATGTGCAGGGAATGTGTCGTCCACCATCTGCACGCAGCATGAATACACAAGCAGTCTGAAGGGCCTTCAGTCAGGAGGGACTCAAATTGTTCCCAAATGTTGCCAGAGACTGTCCGGTGTCAGCCAAGACTGCAAAGCATGAGTTTCTTCTTTTAACTCTGTCCTCGTGTTTTTGACACAAGCTGTTTTCTTGAAATGTGGACGTTAAAGAGTCCTCTCCTGCTGATGTTCAGGTGTATATCAGTATGTAGTGTCTCTACTTTAAAGAGTCCTCTCCTGCTGATGTTCAGGTGTATATCAGTATGTAGTGTCTCTACTTTAAAGAGTCCTCTCCTGCTGATGTTCAGGTGTATATCAGTATGTAGTGTCTCTACTTTAAAGAGTCCTCTCCTGCTGATGTTCAGGTGTATATCAGTATGTAGTGTCTCTACTTTAAAGAGTCCTCTCCTGCTGATGTTCAGGTGTATATCAGTATGTAGGGTCTCTACTTTAAAGAGTCCTCTCCTGCTGATGTTCAGGTGTATATCAGTATGTAGGGTCTCTACTTTAAAGAGTCCTCTCCAGCTGATGTTCAGGTGTATATCAGTATGTAGTGTCTCTACTTTAAAGAGTCCTCTCCTGCTGATGTTCAGGTGTATATCAGTATTTAGTGTCTCTACTTTAAAGAGTCCTCTCCTGCTGATGTTCAGGTGTATATCAGTATGTAGTGTCTCTACTTTAAAGAGTCCTCTCCTGCTGATATTCA